TTCTATTTTTATAAACATTTTTCTCACTAATGATTGGCTATGGTTATTCAACGTTACCAAAACTTTTTAAGCTTAATTTTTACTATTTAATTACTACAATATGTATTTGTTATAGTATAAACAATCATTTGTAAGTATGCCTACAAGAATATTACAATTTCATGATATCTCGTTCTAACCTATTTTCAAATTGCACCGTTCAAATCTCGCGTTCATTAGTATCAGGTAATCATCTGTAAAAAGAATTCCTCGTATGGAATAGTCCTTATACACGAAATAATATAATAAACCAACGAAAGAATCTAACCTAGTAATATGTATTCTGAAATTTCAATGCTGATATCTTCCGTCGTATCTTAGGTACATTCAACGTGTGTTCACATTATCTAATCCTCCCAGTATTCGAAAACAAGATGTCAACACGGTCTTAACATCTATTTGCAATGCTGGAAAAGTTGGCGTAGACGTGATGTTAGATTACTTGGTCAATGAATACGAGAGTATTTTTGCATAGTGAGTATGGAAATATCGTTATTGATACTACAAACGGGAAAGTATTTTGTGACTTTAAAATACAAAAAAGATTACGTTGCGTTCTTTTATTGCAATATCATTTATCATTTTTTATTGTGATATCATTTATATCAATAGCATTTTCATTGCATATTGTTTTTGTTTCCTCAGTTATGACGAATGGAATAGCGTTGGAAGTCTATTCACCAAAATAGCACCTCGTATTTCCACATTAGAGCAATTGCAAAAGGTATATTTATATTTTATTAGTGACTTTAAACATTTGTATAATCATTCTTATTTAAATATTATTTCTCATTTGTGTCGTCATCTTTGATACGCTGATCGTATTTCATTTATAACAAAAATGCAAAGGTTTGAAAATCGTTGACGTATATTTGTGGATTAAAAAAATATAGACGCGTTTACTTATAGAATTAATAATAATGCATTAACCACATGCTTATCTAATTAAAAATTTGATGTAGACCAGTTACTTTCCAATTAGAATTGCAATTTTAGTTAAATCATTTGTTGTAATTTGTACACGGATTTTACATGCGTAGGATTTTATGGTTAGTGTAAAGGAAAATGTTTTGAAATTAGCAAACAAGGAGATTAATCTTCCCGTCCCCTTTGCAAACTTTTCGTGAATTATATTAGGATAAACATTATCTGTTATTATAGCTGGAGAAGTTTGTAACGTCCAAAACAGAAGACCTGGAAGACATTTCATCAACACTCCAGACAGCATTGGAAACTGCAAAAGATAATTTCCGTTGGTACGAAGAGAATCGCGATCTCATACAACATCATTTGAGCTCCGTAATTGCAGAATGGAATAAAAGTGCTGGAGTTACTCTAAATAGTTTTAGTATAATATCAGTGACAATATTTACAATTACCACGTTTATGTTACATTAATAAATGAATTGAGATGATTCATATCAAGACTTTAGGCATACATAAATGAATAAAAAAAGAAGTGTATATTTATATATATATATATTTTTATTATATAATATAATATAATTAAATACAGTATTGTTGTATTATACAGAACAGTAATAAATAATTTTTTAAAATATTAACAACAGGATTCTGTGCTCTTATTATTGTCCTGAACGAAATCATAAAATCCCATTTGTAAGAAATTAAGAAAACACTTTTTATTTAAATGTTACTTTTACCCTTTTTTCCTGGCTTTTGTATACATTCTTTTTTCATCATAAGAATCCCAAGCTCATGATTACACTGCTCAGCGTTATGTATGTAATGTAAATTGTCATTGTTATTAATCATTTTCGAAATATCTAAGTAGAGGACAGCGGCACCCGAAAAACTTGTAAGTTGTCAATGGCATCCCACAAGAAGACATCTAGAGCTCAATTATTATTTATATTTACAAAAGTACCATCAGTCTACCGAAAAGCGTCAAAGTCTTACAGTTTGCAAACGATTTCACATTGTATTGTAAAAGTTCCCAAGTCAATTTCAGCAAATCATTATTAGAAAAATTAATTTCCCTAGTATACAACAACTTAAATAACTTAGATTTAGAATCGTCTCGTTTTTCCCTTCACAGGCTAACGAAATGTTGAAATCTTCTGTGACCAAAAAACTAATAATGCATTAATCAATGAAAGCAAATTCAGAGGCACCAATTTATTCGAGCACTTTTATGATGAGAAAACAAAACCGTGGCTTTTTGACATGAATTTTCAACGGGTAACAACAACTATCAATGGATGTAGATCCGGTCACCGTAGCCCCGTCTATTAACTTTCTAAAATCAACGTAATAGATGATCCTGGTTGCACTTGCGAAAATGAAGAGCAGGATGCAAACTATGGTTATAACCTTTGGTTATATAGTATTGTAACGTACGGAGAATCTTCCCACGAATTTTTTATATTCCTTTCTGAAGGCATACGCCAGGCTGGCGCCAGCCAACCGGGGGTTCATTTGTATATCGCGAGTCAAGTACCTCCAAGGGGTACGACGACGAACGTTTCTGGAATTGGACCACATATGAACACCCCCACTACCATTTTTCCAGAGAAAATCTGGCTATATAAAGGGCCCAAACGCGACCAAAAATCAGGCTAGTTTCGAGTCATTCGTCGACGTGGAAACTCTAGTGAGATCGACTCTTAATTTTCCTTCGAACAATCTAGTAGGTAGTAGATATCAAATCAGAAGCCCCCGCCGATTCAGTGCGAAAAGCTGAGAGCGCGATAGAATCCGCGAACACCTACATACATTCGTAAAAACCCAAAACGCGTAATAAATTAGCTTTTACCAGTTTTCTTGGTTACAAGTTCAATTATTTCCATTTCCTATTTCGAAGCAGTAGCTGATATAACCCACAAAGATATATCTTTACCTAGAAAGAGAAATAAAGATATATTTCTTCTTACAAAGTTACGAGGCAGCCTAATACCAATTTCCCCAAATACTGTTCTATCCTTAAAGGTAGCCACCCGTGCCGAAATAAGCATCGGCTGGTCTACGCAACCCTATCAAAAATCCCAATTGCATGCAACCTCCGGCCACCCAACCTGCCTGGCCCTCGGCTCGTAACAGTATATAACATAGTACTAAACTTACAGAAAAATTGAGAAAAAGGGATTTTTCCTTCCACTATCAACTACTTGTCTCCTTCATAAACCTACAGAAACTGTTTGCAATATCATATATTCCTTCCTAAAAAATCTATCGATGTAATTTTTATATCATATTGTAAACACTACTGTATATTAAGTCACATAATAATCTCCATTGGAGGTTGAAATTGCGCCAAAATAAAAAAAAACGGTTGATTTTTGTGAAATGTCTTAATTTATCATTGCAGCGATACAGCAACATAATACAACAACATAAGCCTACGAGAGATACTACTGGTATGATAAGTGCATGGATAATAGTATCTTGGAGTGATGTAGAAATTTATTGATATGAATGTCACCTGACACGCATCGCGTAATACATACAATGGGTGTAGAAAAGTATTCGTACAGCAATCAATTTCAACGAAAACATTATAGAACTATGTTTATTACAAAAACGTGTTAACAAAAAAGATATGTACATATTCTTTGAAATCTTCAAAATAAATGTCATAAAAAAGAAATTGTTTATTTACATTCTTTATGAAACTATTAACAAAACTCTTAAATATGAATGAAAATATACACGCAATAAGTGTTCATACAGTTCCTGTTCTAAGATGCATTCCGTTATAGTATACAAAATGATTATCTGATAATCCGTTTAATGTCAACATAAATTCCATTAGTATATCTAGAGACCTTGTCAGAGTAGATAGTGTTCTATATTTAATATATGTAACGTTAGTAGTTCTAAAATGGAACGAAAAGGAAAGGAAATGACTGAAAGTCAAAGAAAAATTATTATAAATCTGTATAATAAGTGCAAAACATTACGAGAGATTTCGGAAATTATCAATAGACCGAAGTATGCACATGAAATGCCATCAGAAAATTGGCTAAAAACTGCACTTACTCTAGACTCCCTTATAAATGAGTCACATTCTACGAATTCATATTGTAGGAAATCATGTCGAAAAACTCCTCTGTTATCTGATATACCCTTTTGATCTTGTGTTTCCTCTGATAAGATATCAAATCGATCCAATCGATATGGTAACCATTGATGAAAAAATCAATTATTTGAAATCAATAATTCAGGACTAAAACATACTTTACACCACGTACGAAGCGTATTCAGTTCTCGGAAATATTTGTTTATCTATAACTCTATAAAGAAAAATGAATAAAATAATATTGTACAGATATTGGACACTTTATAATAAACTGTTTATATTTTTACATGTTTATTACTTCTATTATTATATTTATTATTTTGTCTATTGATGCAAACACATGTAATATATTGATCAGTAAAACTATTTTTATTGACGCAACGTATGAACAGTTCTTTCCAATTACTAACTTAAATGTGATTATTGAGAATTGATACTGAGAATTTCAGAAGCATCTTTTTTGTATGAATCATTCCCATTTAGATAATTACATGTTCAAAAATAGATAAGAAGTTGTAGATCTCACTGCAAATCTTACTTCTCGTTGAAATCTCGAGTGCAGAGAGCCGATAACTTTGAACGTATATAAGCATTGAGTGTATCGATGCATGTAGTCTTCGACTATGTAGTCAAACCATAATGACAGTTTTTGAACCAATCACTGAAATTTTCTAAACTGACGTAGTGAAAGAACAAGGTTACATTATTCAGATTCTATTATGAATATTCTATGTGTTGTGTTAGTGTTCATTGGTGTTACATTATCCGTTCATGAAAATCTAACTACAGCCACCAATAACGATACATCAGAAGGTAATCAAAAAAATTATCAATGCCCAATCGAGGATCCCTTTTAAATTTTTCGATATATCCAATTAAATCACGATGAAAAAAGAAATAAATTTAAAATTAAAATTACAAAAGATTTTTCAAATTAAAGTTTAGAAAAAAATAAAATTTTGAAAGAAACAATCGCGAGCACGAACATATTTGTTAAAAAATTCCAAAATCTTTCTTGACGTAAGAATGACATTTTTTTAAGTAAAAGTATTCTTACCGTTTCTGTATTACAAGAATTACTTCAGGAACGGAACAGAATATGAATGTTAAGAAACAGTTAATTTTAGGGAGTAATTTAAAGATTTTGTGTCCAAGCAAAATTAAATTTAAAGTTGTAGGTAAATAGAAATAAAATGTACATGATATCGCACATAAATAAAAAAGATATCACTTTATGATAGTAAGGATAAAGAATCACACTTTTGAAATATTAGAGGCATTTTCACAGTTCATTATTATTAGAAATGAAGCATTCGTGACCATATAATTATTAGCAGAACAATTGAAGTACTGTACGCGATCATTCTCATAGGTTTTCACTGGGTAAATTACGATAATGCTTCCTGGTATAGTGTCATTGATGTCTTGAAAAGCCGTAACTATCAAGACATAAATGTTGTGCATAAAGCTGCTGTCATTGACAATTTATTCAATTTGGCAAGAAACAGTGATTTGGAATATAAAACAGATTTAGATGACCTGCGTTTTCTGGATAATCTTATCTCGATCAGCATTTTTCTGATCATGACGAATATCATAAAGATTTTAAGGTTCGGTTGATATTTCATTAATTAAAATTCTACATACATTTCAGATATATAATTTTTAATATGATTTGTTTATGCCTCGAAACGACGTAAATATTTTTAATGAATTATTGCAGCACTTTGTGTTATCACTCATCGATAATATATACGAATAATCGGTTATGAAGGCCGTTCGAATGATGACAACTCGATAGTATTATTAAGAACTGAATTAAACAGACGGGCTTGCAATTATGGTCACGAAAGATGCATACAAACATTCACTGAAGAATTTCGAAAATGGAGAAGAAGTAATAATTTAAAGTAAGAAAGTAGTTAATTTTGAGTGGTCATTGATCAATTTACAGATGTTTTTCTGGAAGCAATTAATCGACATAAGTACAGTACGACAACACCAAAATATCTCTGGCAAACCTTTGACGAAGTAATTAATGAATCACGTGCTGATGGAGGCGTGGGAATATCTATCGAAAATATAATGGACTCTTGGACTAATGAAGCTGGAAATCCCATTGTATATGCAGATCGAATTGATCGAGACATACGTCTAAAGCAGGTATATTTCATAAATAATTCAATTCTAAATGATTAATGAAAAAATAAAGCTGAAACTGTTCACAATACCAAAAAAAGTTTCAGATAAAAGCTGAATGATATCATAGATCACATAAACTGATACAAACACTTTTTGACTATATAGTGGACATTATTTGATATGATATAAATGTATATGTAAATTGTTTTGTTAAATTTATGATCGTAATCTCTTAAAAAATTCATTTGTTTCCAAGAAATCATATCAAGAAAATGTTTTTATTTGTTGAATGTATAGGCAATTACTATTTACAAGCTAATTGTTGTACATAAGATACATGTAGAAAACTTGAAGTACAAATATTAGAATTGGTTAAATGACAATCAAAGCGATGTTGTTTAATTATTTTTTCTGAGCCTAGTACGAAGATGTAAATAATGTATTTCGTAGATTTTCGCATTGTTAACGTTTTTATGAGCTAGAAACAATTAAAAATCAGAAAAATTACTTTCTCGTGATTTAGAAATCTAATAACCGTTAAAAATTAGGTGATGTATTTATACCTTTCAATGCCTGTGACTCCATTGTATGTTCTACGCTGGTCAACTTCGATGAAATTTTTAACATGCATAGAAATTTTTTAAATTTTCGTTCCAGACTCACCGTCAGATAAAAAATTTAAGACACATAAACTTCTTCATTTTTTTATTATACATTTTTATATATCTGTTTAGACATCGTCTAGTAAACTAATCTGATCGAAACTTAAAAATGCAACTATGCAAAAGTTATTCCGTTTCCGAATATTTCAGTAACTGCAGTACGGCAAGAGTGCGGCAATACTCTTTCTTCCTAAATTCACTTCAAATTGTCTTTTGCAGTATCGATTGTGTTACGACTCAAGAAACGTAATGTTTTAGATACCTATGAGCATCGCTACTTCCTCGGCATCCAACTTCGCAAGGACATCGCCAGTAGAATGTATGGGAGAGAAGAAAACGTATATATCTGCGGGGGATTCAGTGTCGTTCGTTTCGAACGTTCAACAAAACGGCTTCTACCGTATTAAATACGACAGTCATTCGTGCCACCTTCTGATTAGTGCGTTGTACGAGAAAAATTACAGCAAACTCCACGTAACGAATCGTGCTCAATTAATCGACGATGCTTTGAATCTGGCTCGAGCAACAAAAATATCCTATGATAAGACGTTTGAATGTACCGACTATTTACGAAATGAAAAGGAATATCTCCCATGGAAAGCATTCTTCAATGGAATTAATTTCTTGCTGCAAAGATCCTATGGTCAACAGGACAATCTGACTTCTGTCATAAAATCATACATTTTGCATTTAACGTCGAAAATCTACTCTTCACTTGATTTCGAGAATTCGATTGATGACGATCATTTAAAGCAATTGAAAAGAGAACTGATTTTGACTTGGAGGTGCAAAGCGGAGGGCAAGGATTGCGTCAAGAAAGCAAAGCAATTGTACATTAATTTAAAATTGAATACGTTTATGGGGTATGCATTTTTTGCATTGTTATGGTCATATGGTTATATTAACATTCGTGATACAATTAATTTGTCGAATCATTGGATACAACTTGTCCCTCCATTCTTCAATTCTTCAAAGAAGGGTTTCTTTAAGTTCTGCTATACTATATCTGCAAATTAATTGTCTCTGTCGTTCCTATCTTTTGAGAAATTTTATTTTAAAACGAAGTCTTTCCAAGTTTTAAAGTTGTTGTTCTTCATATGCATGAATTGTTATAGAAATAGATAGTTTCCACAGAAGGTGGTGCAATATGTTTTCAGAAATGAAGTGGTGTAATGCCATAAGTATTTATATGCATTTATACTATTGTTAAATAATGATATTCAGCAGGTAGCATTTTTTATTTTCATTATTATGATCAGCACAAAAAGCGATAAAGAAACTTGTGTAGTTATATCTTGTAATATGTATCCTATGACAGTTACTTCTAGCAACACTTTTTAGACATCATATTATACATTTTATAGATTGCCCAATCATATTTCACCAAACGCGAGAGCTGCAGTGTACTGCACAGCGATGAGAGATGCAGATGTCAATGAGTGGAATTTTATGTGGGGACAGTACTTAAAAGCTGATTTTGCTTCGGAAAAGAAAACTATCTTGGAGGCGCTTGGATGTAATAGGAATGAGAAAATTCTACGGTCGTAAGTATTATAAAAGACCATCTATTTTATGATCATTCTAATGATGTTAATAGCTATGATTAACAGACGTTGAAATTACTCATTAATTTATTGCATTTGGTGAAAAATCTTGTCAATTTTACTATACTTTTGTTATGCAAACATGTGATCTTTAATAATTAATTATATATTAATTCGAGGTAATTATAGCAAGTATATTTAGCAATTTATAAAGGATGAAAAGATATTAAAAAGAAAAGTTTGATTATCGTCAATGTAACATGAAATGTGATTTACAAATGATTGGAGATTTGTTACTAATATTTTGTATTAAAAAACCTGATATTATCCTGAATTTTTATTTTCGATATCTTTCGGCATGTCATAGGTACATAAACCGTGCGATAAGTGGATCTTATACTTCTGATATTCGAAAACAAGATGTCGATATAGCCCTAACGTCTATCTACAATGCTGGAAAAGTTGGGGTGGACGTGATGTTGATCTTCCTGGTGAATGAATACAAGAGACTTTACGAATAGTGAGCATAGAAACAAAATTCTGTTGTTGTTTCCTATTACAAAAATTTAGGCGATTAGATTACATGCATTTATTTTTATTTCTCCAGTTACGGCGAATGGAACAGTGTCCGGAACGTGTTCTCCAAACTTGCATCTCATATTTCCACGCAACAACAATTGAAAGATGTATGTTAATTAACATCAATATTTACGCAGACATTGCTAGTTAAGTGTTATGATTCATTTTTAACGTTGCGAAGGAGAACAGTAGCGTTAAGCGAAACAGTATATTTTTCAAGTGGGTTTAGAATTTGTCATTTCGTCCTCTGTAAGAATATGAATCAAAAAAGTGCAAGGTTGCATTTAGAAAAAAATACCGGTGAACTTGAAATCTTCTTTAAAAAAACGATCTTGAGAAGTCATGTTTTTCATGAATGAATTAACCCTTTGAAATAATGCAACCTTATCCTCTGGAATTTGTTCATGCAACTAATAATATCCTTAACATTCAGACAAAATTAAATTCCTGGTCGAATTATTTGTAATTTTTTTATACGATATTAGTGCATCAAACTTTATGGTTGATCTAAAGCATTATCAAATGAGCAATATAAATTAATCCTTTGATACAAAAACAGTTTTTGTTGTTATAGCTGGAGATGATTGGAAATTGCCTCAAGCAATACATGCCTGAAATTTCATTTGAGCTTGACAAGACAGTTGAAACTGCAAGAACAAACCACAACTGGTACGTTGTAAATGCCAATAATATATTTAAAGAATTAAACAGCACCGTTTCAATGTGGGATGCAAGGCTAAACGCCAAAATTAATCTCAATAGTTTTAGTATAATATCAGTGACAATATTTACAATCATCACATATGTGTTATCACATTAAGAGATAGATTGAGGTGATACATGGAAAGACTGTTGATATCTAGTTATTAACCCTTTCATGGGTACAATATGAATTTTCAAGATGACAGCACATTTCAACAGTGGGAATATTTGAGTCTGGTGATCCATATGTGCACTAAAAGTGGGTGGGAAGCATAGTTCTCAGTACCCATGAAAGGCTTAGTAAAAAAGTGTATTATTTCATGTAAATGAATTATTATTATAATGTAAACTACAATACTATTGTATTGAACAGTTTAATAATATAGGTATAGTTTTGTAAAAATGTGAACAAACATTGTTATTATCTATTAAAGAGGCTAATGAGACTAATCAAATATATTCAATTTTTGCTTACATTTATTGTGCCATTCAATAATATCTGCAGAACCGAATTTTTTGTGAATTGGATGAAAACTTTAGTAATTGTAAACGTGAATTAATCATATTGTATCATCGTTATTGTCGTCAATTATCTTATCCGAACATTTATTTTTACAATATTCTGGTTCAAACGATCTACTACCTAATCACTGTATTATTTATAAAAATTGTTATACTTTCTTACTTCAAATCGTATATCAACGTTAATCTCGGAATGAAATGTCATTTAATGACGGACGGTGAAATTAAAATTAAAATTTCTTCGGAGAGAAATAATTTAGTCGAATTTCACTTCATTTTGTTACAAACGTTTCTTTTCTTTTTAAATAACAAACAATTGAAATTTTTCTTAAATTCAGTGTCTGTCTTTACGTATCCACCTCCTTCAGTTTAGGACAGTTTAATTTCAATTATCACTTTTATATAAACTTTTTATAATAAATTACTTGTTACCTAACTCTTGTACTTTCATCTCCGCGATTGTTTACAGAATAACATTGTAAATGTGGACTCAAGGGATAGGGTGATCAAATGATCGTAAAAAGTAACACCATACTTGTTTGTTAAAATTATTTGGCATATTTTTTTAACATGAAATATTATACAAAAATTATTGAATTGCGCATATACATTCATTAAACGATGTTTAATAGATTAATTGCGAACAATCGAACAATCCTCAACTAGATTTAGTTATAAATAATTTAGGAAAGATTTCGAACTTATCATGGAAGATATCGGTACAACCATAATTTGAAGTTGATAAATAACACTAGACGAACACACAGGATTCGACGACACAAAATTTCATTGATTACTGATAATCCTATTCGCTTAAATTATAAACGTAGAATAAACCGGTATCGTATAGCAGTCGATCAGTTTAACTATTATAACAATTAAAGAACAAATGTTCGATGAAATGTCCAAAGATAAATTTATGATAACGCAACCTTCTTTGTAAACGGAAGCATTTAAAAGATACGAAGATTTCATTAACTCTAGTATAATATTAACACACTTATTATAGAATATAGATTCTCTTCAGTCCTATCTGTTACTGTATAACTGTGCACGTAATAGAAGACTAAATAAACGTTAATTTATAGATAATTAACAATTACATCAAATAATCGTGGTATTTTATGCATAAGTATATTTTCTAAATGACTACTGAATAATAGAGACACTGAACATCATTGATCAACATGATCATAACATTTAATGAATTACAGACGACTCACGAACTTAAAGACTCAATGAGATTCAAAGTGCCCGCATTAAGTATTCCTAAGCTGGACACTCGCGTTTCCGAATCAATTAATTTCAATTATTTAAATTTGTGAAGATCTTCATCTTCGTATCTAGTAACGTGCATAGAACATCCCTGAGTTAGGTTTACGTTAAATTGATGTTGCTTCTTTGGATATTCCTAATATCACGTAAGCATTATGGTCTTTTAGGAAATGCAACATTCCTTCGAACAAATTCTTTTTGTTTAGATTTATCATCGTACATACAGCAACACAGTTTTCAATAAGTATCGAATAAATCGAATTTCTCTATTCCGTTTCCATTACCAGAAAGACGAAAACACTAACCAAAAAAGTAACGCCATTAATAGGCGTTTCTCTGTCTTTTACTATCGAATTGTGTATTAACAATGACACATGGATTGGATTTTAAACCATGCAAACAGTTCCAACCTTGGACTGCCCTGCTAAACCCGAATAATTCATTTACACGCACGTACATAATTTGCTTACCAAACTATTTACAACTAATTAAGATAAGTAATACAAAAGTGTGGAATGTAAGTGTAATACAGACAAGGAAATACGAAACATTTGTTGAATTTTGTATAATATAAATGAACAGATGAGTCACTGTACTTGCAGACTTAACAGAGTGTTAATAGTTAATGAGCCGCACTGCACGAGTTAGAATTTGCTTATGAAACGACACAATTCGAGATCGATCGAGAGATTCGTTACAATATCTTTCCCAAATCATATCGGTGCGTTTCAACATGTACTAGTGTAGATCGATCCATCCTTCCTATTCACTGTACATCTAAATATTCCATTACATGTATAATATGAGGTATCCCGTAATAAGCGGATTCCAATTAATTGAAACTGTCCAGTTGAAAATCCTAGGACAAGACCGTACGAATGTATATTGTATTCATTCGTTACAGTTCTAAATATTGTGCTTGGAAGTATGATAAATTTGGCACATGTTTGCAAGTGCTTGGTTCGTTCTATTGTTTTACTTAAATTTCCATTTCATTAGACTCAACCTATTATCATGCGACACGCTGGGTATATGATTATTCGGCGCGTATTTACAAGAACATACAAAAACACTTATTAATTTTTGTAAAGTTTCAAGACGCCTCGCCTCTGGCGGGAAGCTTGTGTTCTAAGTCAGTCCATAAGTTCGTTCGTATGTTCCTATATCGTTAATTCAAGACAGTTGAATACTCGGCATTCAGAAATTGACACTTCTCAAACCTGGAATAATTGTCGTAACTATGACTGACAATAAATCAGCCATTTGAAGCAAAAGCGATGTAAGTCAATTTTTTGCTAGATTGATTTAACAATATGAAATCATATTTAATTTAATATTTCGTATGGTTTTTTTTCTCATCTTAAGTTGGTGCCTGCAAGTGACTTATATAAAAGAGTTGTGACAATATTTTATGTTATTGCATTTTTCAAAATCTTTAATTTATTCTTCGTCATTCACAAATTAACTTTTCTGATTTACACCATTTCTACTTTAAACAGCTCAAATATGCAATTTTCGAGAATTTAGGGACGCCAAAAATGGCGTCCAAATTACGATATAGATAAATACTTCTTTTAAAAGATGTATATATAGATATAAGGTCCCGAGGGAACTATAGGTTCTGCGTTTCCTATACGATAAGAATGCACACGAATGTACGGCTGACTCGATAATATTTCTAAAAACGCTCCAACGACTGAACAAATCCAATATGGTCAAAAATCTCATTCTAGAACCAGCCATTTCTTGAATCATTCTAGACCTAGTTGATTTGTCTCTACCCATTCGTTTTCATTCCCTTATCATCATTACGCAGTGTTTCGTTTTAACCAGTCGTTGATTGTATCATGGTTATTTTTCAACCATCTGATATTCAATTCAGACTGCTCAATCACTTGCTGAATTGTTCTTGTAGTGGTGCTGAAATCTTCCTTGTGTTCATTTGTAAACTGCAATAGCTAAATATGAAAAAAGTTTGCATGAATCGAATTCTAAAATGATTAATATTTGCTAAGAATTTATGAAATAGAAAAGATTTGTTTTCATACTTACATCTTTGAGTTCGTATTGGGAGTTTATACCCTTGGTAGCTGACTTCACGATATTGTTGATAGTGATCGGGGATAATCCGAAGCTATAAAAAGTAAGAATGATATATGTAATAATGTAAAACTATGAATTCAAAAATTGGCTTGAAATTTGCTGTTCTTAAATAGTTTAAATGTGTGAGTCGTTAATATTGAATTAAAATTTAAAGGAATTCATAATCGGAAACATTGAGTTGAATGATACTTATAATATATACCAGAATCGCATCATTTCCAAATTTTAAAATTTATTAGGCTGAAATATGTATTCATCCCGAGTTTTAAATATTTTGTTTATATATTGCACATTTTGATTGATATTTTTTATTCATCCTTCTATTGGCTTTTTTCGAAGAAAACGTGAAGAAAATGGAACGAATACACAGTACAACCTAATAAATTAAATTAAATTTTCGAAAGGAAAAGTTTGAAAACAAATTTTAATTTTTAAATATTGTTTGAGCAAATCACTTTTTGGGAATTTTTAACGTGACTATATTTGACTATCAAAAACGCACATATAAAAATATTCATTGTTCCACACCCTCTAGTTCACGAGATACCTAAAGAAATATGGTAAATGTGGTTTTCACCCTCGATTTCGAGGGCTGTTTTCACTCCCTAGATGTGGATCATTGTAGATAAAAGATACCTTTCAAATATTTGCCAAGAAACTGTATCGCATTAGCAGGAGGGTTTACTGTACTTCAGTCGAGTTCAATGTACAAAAATTACCATTGTCTCTAAAACGCATACAGTAATTCCTCCCGGAAATGCCAAATTTCGGGTTGCTGTGAATTTCCCTGTACTAGTCCTACGTCTATGTAATTTATTGCTACGTCGATGCTAAGGATCGACGAAGTCGATCAAGCGTGTAATCTAGCATGCAACGCGATTCCTGGAAGACAACACAAAATGGTGTGTTAGGTGTGAGTCAGGTAAGAAAAACCGGGGAGCTACAAGGTACGTGGTAAGTACTAGGCACGTGACCGTCGAATCGTGGGATCCGAATTGCCTTCGAATCGTGGCAAAAAATTAGAAATAAAAAAGTTAAGTCATTGTTTTTATTCTAGCATTACTATGTATTCATATTAATATACGCCGGCATGCTGGCCGCTACCTTTTTTTGTCAACTGCCCCGAGTTTCTATAAAAACATTATTGGGAGAAATTACTGAAATATCTAATAATATATACTTATCACTTTCTTTAAGAAATTTACTATTCTTTGAGACGGGTCCACTTGTTCCTGAAGAAATTGAACGCCAAAGACTGTCCAATAGGGTGATTGGAAACCGAGCCCAGTACTCGCCTAGCATCCTGTTTCCTGATACCCGAGTTCTCAGTAACCGTCCATTCCAAATATCGACTGAGAAGCCATGTTTCGTGAGCGCAACCAAGTGCATTCAGTAGCAGATCTTTCTCAGAACCTACGTTCGTCTGCTGGTACATTTGCCAAGCAAAGTTCCACTCAGTTTGCCCGCCAACCCGAATGGCAGTACAGTAAACCACAGACTTTAAGTTGGGTGCAATTCTGTGAATGAATTACATCAATTACTTTGACTTAATTATACAATTATTCTATCACGTCGCAAACTTTCTACACGAACGAATCTTGCTCGCCAACCCTTCTTCTAATGCTTATGCAAATAATGTAAAGAAATGTGCCGAAGAAATTACAAACGAGAGCTAAAAATAATAACTGCAGCATTTAAGCATTTTTTGTAACGTGTTTCGTAAAGAAGATTGTACACTGTTTAATATCGTGATAATAAATAATACATAATTACCACGTTCTGTCATAATACGTTCGCTGGAAGGTCATTCGAAAGACACAACACCATACAGTGCTTTAACGGTATACTAACAAAAAATTAAAAATGACCTTAAGGAATAAATTGGCGCCCAAAAATAAAATAATATCTAATAAAAAAAATATCTACTCAAAGCTAGAAGTCGAAAGTCTCGAGAATAGAATAAAAGTAATGAGCACGGTTAATACTTACGGATTATTTCTATTTGGATTGGGCATATTGCGCCAATTATAAAACTGACTTCTGGCATTTTGAACGCAGTCCTCGTGACCAAAATTACATGCCCATGTTAGTACATTGATACGAGTTAACACTGTTAATTGTGGATCATCAGGGTTATCCTTGAAACCGACTTGTTTGTACACGTTGTCGATCAATTTCAAAATGTACACCTGAAAAACAATTTTTCAGTAGCATTTTACTTGTCTGCATCGCTGTATAATACAGGGTGTCCCAAAATTATGGTAATTCCGGGAAATGAAGGATTCCTGAGGTCAATCGAAGTAACTTTTTCCTTGACGAAAATGTAATTCACAGCTTTTTTTTACAAGTTATTGACCGCGAGGCGCGACAGAAGGAGGGGGCTACGCCCAGGCTTCTAACATTTTAGCATCAAAGATGCCAAATATGGCAAAGATTCCAAATTATATATCATTACAAAAGTATATATATTTATTTACTCGGAACTTATCGTAACCAGGCATCTTGACCAGCATGTCATTTAAGTAATGCATGGCAGTGAAAGCAGACTTCCAGGGTAAATATTCAGTCTCGTGTGCCAAGTATGATGTGACATCCAAGGCGGTAGCATAATCTAATCTTCCGGCTCTAGCTAAGTTTAAGGCATCATCGATCAGCTGTGCTCGATTGATCGTTGATATATCTCTGAATGATTCCTTGTTTAATTGATTAATAATCATCTGCCAATTCGTCCTATCGTAGTTCACTCTGTAGTATCCTGGAAGATTCAATGTGTGTGTGTGAAAGTGAAATAGAATTAATGGTGTTTGCGTTACGTACTAAATGTAATGACAGTTATAACTACATTTCCTTGGAAATATTTGTGTGTACGATGTGAGCGCCGACAGTAATATTAATCCCGAATCAATTAATTACAAATATCAGTTATTTATCAGTTTAGTATAAATAATATTTTTACTTCGAGATAATATGAATTTTATTTTGCTGTTTATTTTACAGAATCTACACTAATGTATAATATGACACTTATGACATAACAACTTAATCTTGTGTTAGTTACTTCAACCGAAACAAAACAAAAAATTTCATCATACTGTCTTCAAAAAAATGTAACATGTAGTTAAATTAATTTATGAAAAACAATAAATAGTAATCATGTTTGCAATAGAATTTAGATAAAACGAGGAGCACGAGTTGAAATTTTAGAAATAATAGTTTCTACTTTTTGTACTATTATCTACTATCTACTAAATCAGGATGCTTTCATTAATGTAAATCACTGTAAATTTCGTTAATTATATGCAATGAGCCCCAACAATGGAATAATAAAATGCGACGATATGACCGTATATATTAAAAAAGAAAACGGTTTCATGAGGTCCCAGATCATAGTTCCAAGATAAGCGAGTTTTGCATGGTACGTCACTGCTATGGACTCCTATTGACCTGATACGTACGCGCCGGCGCTGTCAGCGGGTTGCCATACCTCTCGGATATCCTTAATTATTAATAACTTGCAAACGAATAAAAAGCTGACATTTTCCTATACTTAAACATTCTATGCATATTATTTACAAAATGATTGAATGTCAGAACATTGCAGATTCAGTTCAGCCCTGTATACTCTACGATTTCTTTCACAGCTGTGTTGATAAGCACTTCTTTTGTCCTGAATAATTTCGCAGAGAGAACGAGACAATTTTTGTTTCTTGCATGTCTTCATTTAGTTTTAGATTTAGAAGAAACAAAGAACATTCATATTCAATAGAACACAATCTTCATCAAAGCATGTCTTATAGTCCGTCATTAATCTCAGAGGCCTTTAGTTATGACTTCATATTTCAATTGAATTAGGTCACAAATTCAAAGTACTTGTAATTATAGAATTAGGTGACCTACAGTGGTATATGTTGCTTGGATTCTCGATAACTTCTAGCTTACCGGTTTCCTGAACATTGAAGATTGTCCATTCATTCGGACCAGCATTCAATTTCGGCATAATAATCGATTTCTCGGCTTTTATCCATTCGGATGGCTGGGTCTTGTTGAAATCTAATAATTTCTCAGTTGTATAGGTGATTGGTATCCACCACATCGGCTCAGTCTCGGATGTGGTTTTTATAGTACCATTGTCAAGCCGGAAACGTTCCTTAAAATACAAGAAGTAGGTTTCAAAAATTTGTAATGAGTGAATGGTCGGGTATATACTATTTTTAACGAACCTGCGTTAGCATTGCTGAACCATTCTTGTAATTTCGAATTATTGTGACCACCGGGAATCCAGTCTGAAGAGTCCACGTGTCCATAATTTGCTTTATTGTTACGCTTGTACTTAGAACTTTGTCCTTGTGTGCTTGCTTCGTTAAAGCGTCCCACAGATCATCCTGTTCCGCGCTTTGATAAGCTCTGATGCAATGATAAAAATCATAATTAGCATGTGCTATTTACAAAAATGACTAAGTCATAGTATACTCCAAGTTTAATCAAACACAGGATAGTTTGTATTGTGTCAAACTGGATGCAAATTCAATTAAGACTTAATTAGAACTTGTCATCGAGACTAGGTTTGTTTAGACCTGTGCTTTTTTGTATCGTATTACATTTCGTATTACTTTATTAATTTGTACGATAAAACATTTGCATTGAGCTGAACACATCTAATAGGTATTTACATAATAGACAATTTTGATATTAGAGAACCGGATAATCGAGAATCTATTCTACTCCATTTTAAAGGAGATCGAGAAATACGATTGAAGAAGAGAATGTTGTCCATTGTTTACTGAACTTCAAAAAATATCAAAATAATTTAATGTATTGATAATTAATAGCGTTGTACAAATATGTACATCCACTTACTTTCCATTTAAGTAGTTCGTTAATCCTTGTTTGAAGACTTGGGTAGTAAGGAAATGATCCATCATTCTGATTATGGAAGCACCTGTATCGATAAAGATTGATGTTACGATCCATTCGTGTCATTTATTATTTGAAGCAAAAATACCACTATTTTTCGATTTTTCTTTTCGTGGTATGGCAAATATTAAAATGATGATAGATTTGAAGCAATACTTTTTGAAGCGAACCTCATTCATTTTAAGTATACAAATATTGATATAGTGTTATACTCTAATATAATATTATCAATATATTTTAGTATAATAAAATATAACGTAATAGCAGTTGCAAGAATGGACATAATTTGTAGATTGTCATTGTTGAGACCTAGCGACCACAGAGGTACGACTATTTTAAATATTACCTGGGTAAATATTATAAATATTACCTTCCTAGGCATTAATAAAACTTAAACGTAACTCATAATCAATGACATTTTCGCGCTGACCACAAGGTGATCCTAGTTTTTTATCGAACGATAAAATTTTAAAAAATTTGTATTATTGCACTTTATTCTCATCAAAGTACCAAATAACTTCTGTTCAAAAAATTTTGTGTCCGACTGGCCTAGATGCCTCGTGACGACCGTTAAAATGAACACTCTATATATCATATTACACATGTTGGTAATTACTCCGACTTTAGTGCCATAGTGATACTGCATATCAGTCTCGTTATTTCCTAACATTATATCCATAATAAGGTAATACTGGTTCTAAATCTATGCTTAAAAATACTTTGAAAATTACAATATGATAGGGAGACCGAAAAAATGAAGTCGGTTTCTATGAGAGTTTCAAAAGTACAACCGAAAAATACCAGTATTTTACGTTTCAGTAGAAATCCCTGGTTTAAACAAGCCTTTAACTCAACGGTCAACTACATAGTTATTCAATACCTTTTTCATATGATATCCTGTCGAAGATCTCACTAATCTCATCGGGATGTCCAACTTTAATGGATATAGGATGCGACGATTCCAAAACGTCCAGTCCAAAAACGATTTGAAGATCGTGGACTACAAACTGCTCCAAAACTTTCCAAGCCGGTTCCACCTAAACCAATGGAAAGAATTATGGATTAGCATGGGAATTGTGGGACGGCGAGGTATTATGGTCGAAGCAACTGCGGCACGAGCTTGTCAAGTTTTATGGTCGAAGTTTGCCAACTTACTGCATCCATGCCGACGTACTCGACGTAACTGGCGAACCCTTCGTTCAACCAAAGGTCTGTCCACCAACTTGGAGTTACCAAGTTTCCAAACCATTGATGAGCAAGTTCGTGAGCAACTACGCTGGCCACTCGGTGTTTGTTGTTACTGGTCGAAACTCCTTCTTGGTATAACAGTGCTGTTTCCCTAAAAAATATCAAGACTTACGTCCCTACTTATCCTTACATAATTGCTGTAAAACAGAAAGTACAACTGACTAATATGAAATTAAAAACACCACAAAATATTATAATAAAATAAATTATAATAAAATGCTGTTTTATGTTGCAAGTTATTAATTGTCAATTATGATGCTAGCAAACAGAAATGTTGATATCTCAGAAACGATTTGCCTCTTGAATTGTTTACTAAGGCTTGCTTACTTGGTACAGCATACCCTATATACCATATAAATATTGAATGCTTTTTATAAACACTTTGTGTAGAGAATCTGGAATTGTGGAGCGTTTAATTCAAAGAAAATTTCGAGTCACCTGTAAGTGATCAGACCCCAGTTCTCCATGGCACCAGCCGCGAAGTCAGGAAGAGCTACGTTATCAATCTTCGGCAGGGGGAATTTAATTTTGAAGTAATTCTCGAAATACTCAAGAATCTTCGGGCCTATCTTCAAACTGTAGTGAGCTTGATCGATGGCCTCATTGCGTGCCCAGACTCGAAAATTTCCAGACTCCGATTTCAACATTTTGAAATCGGAAACTATGAAGGCTACCAGGTAGGTGGACATTGGTACCGAACGGTCGTAATGGTCCCACACATAGGATGGTAATCCTGGCCTAAGAACAAAATATATTATGCATTGACACATTTACCGATCCAATCACGCATAAACAAATTAAATCGTGTTTAGTAAAATATTAATACATCGGCTGAAAAATATATTTTTCGTTAATATATTGAGCCCGAAGACTCTACACGAATGTAGCAATTAATATACTGCGAATTTCCATGCATTTATAGCATATGCAGATTTTTAACATGCAAGGAAACGTATAAGTTGACGAAGGAAACTTTCTTTGATTTCAATTTTTGATCTTCATAATGGCTCCTGAGAATGAGAATTTTTATAAAGTATTTTGAGTAATATTTTATTTTTAATATTTAAAGGGACAGTATCAACATTTTTAATTTTTCAATTTATTAACTAAATTACTTTGAAAATTGTTTTGATTTTATGCAATTCCAGAGGTCATTGCGTTACATCGTTGTAAAGAGCCTGTCACTTAGTATATTTTCTATCAAAATTTTCAATATCTACTGCTAGCACAGGGTGTGTTATATGTCACGCACTGGTCGTTGAGCACGCCTCAGGACAGAGCCTCTACTTCTAAAATTCAGACCTTAACAACCTCTCAAAAATTCAACGATAACCATTTCCAGCTCCGCAATCGCTTAGCTGTGGATCGTAACAATTGATTGAATTCAAAGAAACCCGCAGTAATTACTCATTGAACGAAAACATTCAAATTAATAACCAATTGTCTTGATTATATACTTAAATTTATTCTTTAATATTTATTCAAGTCAACAGCTTTTTTAAATTTAAAATATAAATGTAGTATCCCATAGAATCGTTCATACATTTGCAATGTTATGAAGTTACTTTCACCTTGGTGACCCGTTCTACTTTCTTTACAGATATTGAGAAATCTCAGTGTTCAGATTTGTTGCAACTTTCATCTTCCAGTATTCTCGTTTCACATTTTTACATTGTAATATTTTACAGTCATTGATGGGATGACAGCGCAAAGTAGATTAGAGACGCGAAAGAAAGAAGATGAAAACGTCGCATTCCAACGTGACAATAAATCTAAGCGTGACGCAAACGTCACAAAATCATGATTGTCATGTGTGAAAAATGTATGATAATAATATGCAATTTCATTTTAAATTATGCTGATGGCCTCAAGATTTCGAGAAATATCATCTTCGAAACAATATTTCTTTTAAGGTAATTTCTAATATTTTTTTCCTATTATCTAAAACAATTAATAGTCAAGTCTATCCACTTATGATACTAAATCTACGTATTTGTAGTAGATCTGATGATACATATCTGTAGATGTAATCTGCATATTTAAATCTTGTTAGTATGATGCATAAGAAGGTTAAAAGAGTGATTGTAATTTGAGACTTCTAAATTCCTGTTTCACAAAAAAGATATTATCTTAATTTTTCGAAATTTTAGCGAGCTCGCCATTAATTTAACGATAGAAATTATTACTACTATGATACAATTAGAATGTCATTCTCTTCTATGTGCAATGTATTCGAAATGGGTAAACAGTAGCCTTGCGTGAACTTTGTGAGTCATTGTATCTGCAATGACACATTTGCAAGGAACATTACCCAAGTGTGACACACCAATATTGATGGGACCTTGCGCTTAGGTAGTAAGCATGGAAACATTCAACTTGCATTACGTTTAGCGATTCACGTTCGCGGTATGGAAGTGAGATTGTTTTTCACGGTTTAATGCATGCGAGATTTTCGACCATATAATGAAGATCTACTACAAAGTAGAAACAAATCTTAAACATAAAGAATTTCTTGGCTTGGTAGGTATAATTAACTAGCCTGCGGATTCTTTTGCAATATAAAAATTGTTTCCATCGAATAGAAATTTCATTTGCTTTTTACTAATTTCAATTGACACTCTCAAATTTAAAAAATCTATTTATTGTCGTCTTATTTTTATTACAAATGATGAAGAAGAGAGATATATAAATCAACAAATATATATACAAATTTGAATAAAATCAAATATAGTATCACAATAGTTTCATTTTTCATAAGAATTCAACATATTTTATGTACATATCTTTATTTCTTGAAATTTCTTATACAACTGTGATTTACGACTCGTTGAAACTCTCTATTAACTAACAAAAGATATGTTTATCTAATTTTAATTTTTTAGAAATAACTTCGAAAATTTTTATTTGGCTAAAAAGTTCACAGTCTAATGACTATAAGAAATTGTCTTAAACAAAAAAA